TGGCACTGTTATATTTTTGTGTTTTTTCCTTTTTGGCGGGTGGTAATTAGGTTTATTTATTCATTTTTAATGGAGGTACTGGAGATTGAACCCAGAACCTCGTGCATGCTAAGCACACATTCTACCACTGAGCTCTAACCTCCCCCTGATTTTTTTTTCATCCCTAATTGCTAAATTGGTTACTCTTTTACACTGATGTTGTCTTACCAAACTGGTACTGAGTTTGTTCGGCTTTCTGATGGGCATGTTATTTTTGAGTAGAGCGTTCTTAACCTTGATTATTCATAGGTAAAAGGGTTCCTGGATACTTTCTTGGGGCCGGGTGAGTCCTGTGAAATTGTATGCCACTGTGTGAAAACTATGAGAGTCTGTACTGAGAGATATAATTTTCTGGCTTGAACGCTCCTGCCTTTCATCAGATTCTCAGAACTTTCTCAAGCGATTGGTTTACAAGGATTTTAAAAAAAGTAGCTCTTGTTATACTTGGTTCAGAAGTTTAACCTACTTGAGGAATTCTGAAGCCTGGTTTTATAATTGGAGCTATTATAAAGGAACAGAGAATTATAGGCATTTTGAGCAAATCATGTCAAGGTTTGTTTTGTCTCATGAGCTTCCTACGTTATTATATTCTTCTGCCCAGACCGTCCCACAGCGTGCTCTCCACCATAGTGGTGCTACTGGATCCTTCTACCATACCATAATACGCACAGTCAGGTCTGCACACTGCCTGTCATACCTCTCATCTGGCACAGAAAAATTAAGCTCTGGGCTAACTAAAACAAGTCTCGATCTTGGAATTGTGGTAAGAAAGGGAACCGTGAGAAGAATATCTCAAAATTCTCCTTGTTTAAAATGGATATATGTGTGATTCTCAAGTCTGACCAAGAGAATGGGGATTCTTTTTTTAAAACAAGTACTTGACTTTTGATTTCAGAAAGGGAAAAATAGCTTCTTCCCTGAATGTGATCAGCTCTTTGGATGAAATCTTGCAGTTGCCTGCAGTTTTATTTTAGGGATCTCAACGGGATGGTGAAGTCATTCCAAATATGAATTTAGTACAACTCAGGCCCACGGAAACAGATTTGATGGCATCGCAAGAGGGTGCTGGCATCTTTGCTTATAATATAGTGAGGGACTTGGATCAATTCCTTTTAGGTGAGCTGTCCTCAGAAAGCAGCGGTGGGCGGAAGTTAACCCACATGCCATCCTCTTTACCCACTAAATGTTCTTTATAAATGTGTCTGCAGGTGAAATGTGGGCTTTACTCCTGCGTTCAGCCAGTCGACAAATGTTTGTTTATTAATTATCTGTCGTGGGTGAGGTGCTTTGTTATACTTTGGGGGTTACATTAGTCAAAAAACAATGAAAATAAAACAACTGCCTCAGCAAAGTCCAGGATCCTTTAAGAGTTTATTAATTAAATCACACAGATACGTTAAAAACTACGTAATCCAGTAAATAAATGAATATGCATGTGAGACTGTGTTCATTGTGAAAGATAAACAGTTTTTGCTTTTAGTATAGCTTCATTTTTCTGTACTTTTTAACCGTAATGATAATGCATCTTTTAAATGCTCTTATCTTCTCTAAATTAATGTGGAATTTGTCATTTGTGAAAGAGTACCAAATTCTGGAAGAATATTTACAGTTAGAAGTACAATTAATATCAACTCTCCTGTGCCAAGCAGTGGCATGAAGCCAGAATCCACCAAACGAATAATAATTGGTGAAAATGTCTCCCACTTCATTGGTAGGATTAGAAACACCCCACAAATAGCCCATTAGAAAGTGGTTAAGCAGAAAAAAGTTACTAGGATTATTCTTTTGTATTTTTATTGAAGTATAGTCA